ACAATTGTACTTTCGAAATAAATAGGTTAGGGCTATGCGTCAAAATTTTATTGGTCAATAAAATTTTTAACAAAGTTGACATTTTTGTACTTATGTGGAATTATAAATTGTTAACAAGGATATTTTGGTCTAAACTATTGCAAAATGGACATTAAACAAATTTTGAAAAGTGGACATTTCTTGTAATACTAGCATAGTGGCAAACTGTATTAAAACCACCTAAATCAAGACTCGAGTCAAGAATGTTCGGAACACAAGAGAGAGTTAGGGAGAATGCTTTAGTACTGTATACAACTTAAAATTTGCCAACTTGGTGATTTACAAATGATCCTTCTCCTGTTCATGGGCATTGCCAACTCATATGGACAAGTCTAAACGTGATGGAGCCTGGATAATTTTTTTTCCTTCTTCACACCAACACGCAATTGGAAAAACTTGTCGACCATCAAAAATATAAAGAAATGTTGTTGATGAATAAACGTTATTGTAAAATTATAAGTCATTGAAATTAAAATATGACAGCAATGAATGATCGATACGTGGATGTTGATTCTTATGGAATGTGTGGTTAAAGTTGATGTTTGACTTTGATCATTAAATTTATAAGGAAATTATATAAAGTTTCTCAAACATGCATGGGATAGAATTCGACAAACCTCATGCTCTAATGTAGAGATTATGATCATGGTATTAGTACATAATTTAATTCACAACAAAACCAACATTTTCTAGGAAACGGCCTAGACAATTTTAAATTAGAAGAAAACAAATTATTGTATGATAAACATTTTACAGAAACTGTTATTTTGAAATACTTTACTTTCAAAATTGCACAACGTATTTACAATCAACACTACTATAGTTTTAATTTATGTTTGTGAACAGACCAAATTTTACAGGTGTTGTGACTGTATGTATAGTTTCTATGAAGTGATCAATCACGCATCAATAGCTGCTACTGATGGGATTTGAGAGGTTGCCTGCTGCAAATACTTGAAAGCCTTTCGATGATTTAGAAATCCCATGAACCAGAACTCGAACTTATCCTCAGTAATTATCTGCACATACTTTTGCCTTGGT